AAATTTCCAACGCCTTCAGAAAATTATGTGCGGGTCGAATGACAAATGTGCAGGTGTGCAGGGATTAAACTATCTAATTTTCACAAATTTTTCGATATGAAAGGTACAGTGGCATATTGTGTCTTCGTTATATCAATATGCACGATTCCATCTTTATTTGATAATACATTGGCCGAAATCATAACTTCTTTTCAAGTTATAGACTTAAGTGCTATCGGCGATTCGCACAGGTCATACTTCGACACTGTACTCATCTAAAGTCTTTTCTTCCAAACACTTAGTCCGAACTGACTTCTTGAATTCAATACGGTTCCGGATTATATCTTGTTATCGGCATCATTTTGACTGGCTGCCCTCGACAAAAGTGGAGGAAGTTATTTTTTCGGATCCATCTCAAACGAGCGATAATACCTTTGAATTATCTCAGATTAAACAGATTTTTCTAATTGTTCTTCCTTCGTCGTTTGTCAGCTGGAAAGTATCTTTAACATAATGTTTGAAATTATTACATCGTTTGGTAGTAAAGATGGAATTCATTGCCCGTCACAGCAATCAGCTAACACAACGCTTCCACTAAGTTGTCGCTTATATTAAGGCAGAAATGAATGTTAATACGAATCTGATTGAAAGCAGATTTTCGAATAAATTTTTTGGTTTGTTGCAGCAAACTCTCGTACAAAAACGCAAATGAAGTGAACAAATTTATTTATTCGGAAAGCTGTTAAAAGAGTTGAAAGCAGAACAAACGCAATGTCATAGATGTTGTTTGTCTCTTTACTCTCCCCTCAGGGAGTGTCCCCCAACAGGGTGACAGTAAAGAGATAGCGTGGCCGTGGCGTCATTCTTACGCGTTACGCCTTCATCGAGTGACCACTCGCCATAGCTACACCCTAACTAAACTCCATCATACTTCAGATTCGGGCTGCGAACACTGACTTCGTAGTTACGAATTCTGCTTGCTAGGCCACGTCTGGTTATTCACTGACCGATAGCTAGTAAGCAACTGAAACTTTTACCGCACAGGCATCAAGTTGCATTTACCTGAAATTTCAGAGCAACTAAACGTATTCGGTGCGCTTTATGAAGCAACAAATTTCAATCGACAAGATTTACTTGCGCACCTAATAATTTAGAACGGCATGGAAAGCAGAAAATATGTGTTCCTGGTCTCCTGTATGTGTGTCTGTCTGTCTGTCTGCTTATTTTAAATGCGTTTGAAAGCTCAAAAATTTGTCATTAAATATTAAAAGTAGTTTTAACATTTTCTTCCTTAATCCGATCAAGCGGACTTGGAAACTCGACTGAATAATGCAATTTATAAATACTCACTACAGAGCTATTCAAGTAACAATCTTTCCATACCTTTATTATGCCCCCGTTTCAAATGTTTTATGCAAACTATTTTCTTTTTGTGGTCCATTATGTGCGGTCTAAAAATATACACGTTATGCTTTATATATGTAAACCATCCTGCCTCCTGAAGTGTGAACGATTTGTACTAATTATAAAACAAAAGCGAATAAGTCTGTATGACCGAAGTTAAACATAATCTTTTTCGGATTACAGTTAACTTTACGAGTCTCTGAACGTAAGTTTATAATAATAATAATAATGTAAATTATTGTTGTTGTGCTTCAGTAGTTGTCTTTTCTGGGATTAACTTCGCCCCGTTTTTCTCTCTGTGTGTTATTATTATCTTTATTCATTTGAGTTTTTTCGCTTAGAATTATAGCTTAACAAGCGAATCTGTACTTCACTAGTATTGTTCTCCAAAATGTTCTCTGAATGTCAAGAAAATTAATATTTTAAGTGTTTCAACATTTGTTGTTGTCTTGCTACAAACGAAAACATTATTCGTGTGGAGGTTAAGAGATTTGATGAATCGGCAAAAAATTTCATTCAATCGCACTTTTCAGAAAAAATGATTACAGTCTTGCAATAATAATAATGATGATGATCAATTGAATGAATATAATTCATTCAGATACGTTTTACATAGTAACAGAAATACATTACAGAGCAATTGTTTGCAAGTTAGTACATCGAGGAAGGTTTTCTTGTGCGAAGATATACAGTTTTACTTAATCGATGCAATCGAACACTTTTAGTAAATTCTATCGTAAGTTCTCTGTGTCGTTTACTAAGCTCTCAGTGTTCATTGAATGGATTTGTGCCTTTTTTACGTCGTTTAACGTTACAATTTTGACTCCCGTCATATATTGATGCAATAATTGACAGTAGTACATGTCGTGGCCATGTGAAAGCATTCTCAATTAGTCAAATCAAAAGAAGAGCTTGGCAACATTGCATGCTTAAATAATAAACATAAATAAATAAGTTCGGAAAGGTAAAAAGGTAAAGTCAAGTACATTACATTTCTTGAGCTCATCAAAAGACCGCTAAGAAGCGTCTATAGCATCTTCGTAAAGGGTCGATACCAGGGTGAAAGCCATGCCCATAATTAAGCATTAATAAATTTGTGATTTCTTTGCATTTCTGGTAGGGCAGTATGAATTCTAGATTCCATCAGCTAGAGTATGTTAAAAATGTAGTCCTTCTCTTCCTTTTAAAGAGTCAACCGACATGCTTGCCACTAAGACAAGGTTTGAGATTTTTGTAGGTTTTTATTAAGAGTGAAGGTGTTCGAAACTCTCGTTAGAGGTTGTGTGACTTTACAACTATTCCTAATCGACTAGAAGAATGTCGAAGTTGATGGAAAATCATTTTTTTAGTTCAAATAGGGCACATGTACACAATATTTACCTTAGCAAATATTTTCCTATTATACCCAATCGACTGACTGACATGTTCAAAATCAATAAATAGTCTCGATATTTTATATTGGTTTTTTTTGGCGTGTGGCCCCTCTCAAAGCATATTCAGTTTTCCTATTTTATCCAATTTTTCGAGTGAGAAAATCTGTATCTAGGCAAACACTATACGCTCCAAGATGATATTATTATTATTATTATTGTTATTATTACATAAAGGAAAAAAATTGAGTACTAGGAGCGCAGCCGATAGCCTATTCAATTTTAGATGTTGAGTCTAGTAGCTATAATAAGGTAATACGTTAAATTGGTATTACGTTCTGTAGGTGACTTGAACCCATACCCATAGGATTAGTTGTTCCGCATGCGATTCTTTCTTTCTTCATTGGAGAAGAAGATTTCTTAAGGATTCATTGGTTGTGCTTGCTCTCAAATTTTTCGATCTTGACTTTGTCAATATCAGTTCAGTATAATGCCAGAACTAGATGAGGACGAACGGAAGAGTTGTGCTGGTTTGCTTCCATAATTATACCCTACACCAGTTCTGGTAAAGGGGTATATTAGGTTTGTGCAAATGTATGCATCTGTTATTATATCGATCTATTCAGAATCATTTTCTGAATCGATTTAAGCTTGTCTGTCTGTGTGTCCACCAGTCTGTCTCACCTTCTTTCGTTTAACGCCTTATTTTGAAAACTTGTCATATGAATAACTGTAGGGTTCTAAAGGATATTTAATGCTGGGCCGTGGCCTATCATAATGTGTTTACTTGTTTTTCCTTTAACTTTCCTCTATCCGCGAGAGTAGCCGAGTAGGTAAAAGTTGCGACTATCACGTCTGTGTTCGTGGCCTCAAGTGTTGTGGTGAGTGCTCTATCAATAAAGACTTAACACTTACCGCTTAGACACACATCGGCTAGGGTGCGGCCGCGTCTCCGGCTCTTTCTATTTCCTAACTACTTTCCAACCGTCACCTTATTGCACGAATATGGGACATCCCCTGAGTGATTCGTCATATAATAAAAAAAAACCCTTCTCCTAATAGATCTTGGGCCAATATCTCTTTGAAGGTGCAACTTTGCTTCGATACCGTCGATAATTAGGGGTGGAGAAGCAGTGGTCTTCGCTGCTCGATCGACTTGCTTATTTCCCGTTAAACGAATATGACTAGATATCCAAATCGTTTTAATCATCCTACTCTGTTATCCAAGCATATGAATGACAAAATTAATCCAGAAAATTTTGCAATTTGGTATACGTTCTAACGCCTCGATCGGGTGCTGTACAATCATCCTCTGAGCTTCAATTTCTCAAATGATAGTGTCTCCAAGTTTGTGTAATTTTTTTATTAAATAAATAATAGGTCAGCTGATGGATCCGTTGTGAAGGGAGAGGTTTACATGATTTTTGTTTGGATAGTGACCCCACAATTTTTGAGCTCAGCGTTCATTTCTTTTTTATATGGAAGAAAGAAAAGAAAAAATATTCCCGCTTATGCTTTTCGATTTTCATAATATTTTTGGAAGGATCTTAAGCGTTATTTGTCTAAATCCATACAAGATGAGTTGCTGGACATAGTGTGCCTAAAATCTTTGCTTTCTATAAATTTTCTAAAATGGACAAACAGATGAGCGAACATTCACGCGAACTAAATCTCTGCAGAGTTCAACTGTAATCCATAAGCATATGGTGTCGAGATAGTGTAACCTTAGAGGTCACAATGTTACTGCATCACATATATATGTATATATGTAGTATATAACTAGATTAATGTATCACACAATAGAAATGCAAAATGATATTATTTTTCTCTTTCTTTTTGTCTTTTTCTTTCTCTCTCTCTCTCTCTCTCTCTGCTTCTCTCTTCCTAACTATGTTATAGGAACACCATTTTGGTGTCTGTTCGACATCGTGCCAATTAAGAATGAAAAACGTGATGTTGTATTGTTTTTGGCGTCACACAAAGACATCACGCATACAAAGATGCTGGAAATGAACACAAGTGATGAATGCGATAGTGGTAAGCTTGGAAAAAAATGAGAAAAAAAAAACAAATCAAAAGCTATACTTTTTTTTAACAAGAAGGGAAATGTTTGGTTATGTTCAGTTTGAGCTGAATCTTTATTAATACTCACCACCTACACGCACAATGCGGAACAAAGTGCAAAGCACTTACATGTTGTTATCAATTTTTCAATATACATTTGCTTTGTTGCTTGCATTGCGTTGATTGAAAACCGTACTTATCCATACAATATGAACTTGGATTTGAGTAAAGGTTATGGAGAAATGTTTTAGACTTTGCTCCTCTACTGCACTCACTCGGCAACCAAATTAATCCTAGTAATCAAATGAAATTTTGTTTTATGCTACGTTTAGTGGCGCAGTAGAGCGGAACGTAAACTTTTTTTTGGTGGTGGGTAAAATACATGTTTGTTGATCATTGTATGCATATGTACTTAAACACATGTATAGGCAAACTAAAAATATATTAATTTATAAAATATTTCGCTAAATTACTCTTAAGTTCTTGTATTATATGCATTTATTTTTTGGTTCGCGTCATAAGTAATAAATCACTTAAAAGGTCTCCTCTTAAATATATTTACGGCAACACTATTGCTATACTCATGAGATTTTTGGGTAACTCCAGCCTTTAAAAGAAATTTGTATTTCACACCAATCCGCGATCGTTAGTTTGCAAGTCGCAGTTGTTGAAGTGACACTACTTTTGCAATTTTCAAAGCAATGGAAAACTCACTCAGCTCATACTCAGCATTGATTTGAAATGTGTTATGGCGATTGTTGTTTGTCGAAAAAATAAATTTGTGGATCACGTGCTAATTTTAAACCAAGCCATATGCATACGGAAGATTTTCAACCCGCTGGTCGCCTACAATCGGCATTTGTTCCGGAAGAAAAAGTGAAGATGCATGGGACAGTTGGCACTTGAAAGATATCAGAAGACAATCTATTTACCATTTTGGCTGAACATTTGTTTGCATGAGAAAGCACTGTTCGAAGTGGGTGCTGCGTTTGCTTGCTCTTGACATGTACTGAAATGTATTGATGATGTCAGGTGCTGTCGAGAGTTGGTTAGGCGAAATAAAACGAATTTTTCATGTCATATGCAAATATGGATGCAATATTCATTGATTCATCGCTACACTTCAATCAAAGCGATGATCAGCCGAGTGGACAGCAAGCGGCATAAGGCGTCCGGAGTGTCCTAAAAAGTACCCTCAGTAGTAAAATATGCCTAACTTGTACAAATTTTGACAGCCTGGTAGTACTCAGAAATCGTATTGGTCTTTCAATAGTCAACAGTTTTGCCACACATGTATCAGAACGGAGACTTATTGAGTAATCTGTTAATCTGATAAGTTGACATGTTTGTGGGAAATCTAATCATTTGGTTTCGTTCCACTATTTGTGAGCCTTCCATCAACTTTCTCAAGGGAATATCAAGTTTGTGGGGAGTTATGCGGCATTGAAGAATAGCTGAATTTTACCGCTTATCAGAAAATCATTATGAATCGTTTCGCAATGCCTTCGCCTGTTCGACTGATATTTGTTCATGTATTCGTTGTTGAGCATTGAGTTTTGAGTTTACGGCACGCTTTGATGAAACGCAATACATTGGCATATTTTGCTTTAGAGACGAATTTTAACGAAATTGGATTAGATCGAATGCGATCACTTCAACGACCACTTTCTATGCAATTCTTTATTTTAAAAAAAGTTCAATTTTTAATGTTTCTCGATGGAAAATCGATGATATCGACGATATCTTCGTATACGAAATGATGGTGGAAAATTTTGATCGAATGAAATAGTTTTTTGTTTTTAAGCCCACCCCCATAATCATTCTTATACTAGCCCTTAAGTGGCAAAAAATATTTTATGATGACAATCAATTTAGAACAATCGGCTTACGCATAAATGAAGCGCATATTCCGCTTTTGTCTGTTCAGATTGGAACTAACCATTACTAATATAAGATGTTTAACGGACTGATGATTTATAAGGAAATGAATTTTCCTTTCAAACAAATTACGATTTACAATTAAGTTTCTGGTAAGGATTTATGGCTAACTGAAGCTATGCGTAACGTATCACATCCCGGCACATCCCGTTGACACATTTACCTCAAGTGTCAAATATCACAATTCATTTTATACATAAATGCAAGCAAAGCATCTTCTCAATGCGCTTACAATTAGGTGATGCATATTGTCGTCTGATGTAGTTCGTCTTGGTCATTTTATTTAGCATGGGTCATATCTCTATACTATTCTGCATACTCGACGTATATTATAGAACCATTATCTGGCAACAAGGCTTAGTTTCTAATTCTTAATTTATTAGAATTTAATAAGTTTTCGTAAATTCTCAACTTTAGATTATAGTGAGTGGAATTGTGTAGAGACGGTAGACGTCTCCCAGCTACCACAACGTCTTAATTCATTCTGTAAAGGAATTGGTTTCGTAAGAAGAGTAAATTCGGTTGAGAATGAATCTGTTATACCCATCACCGTTATTCTAAAAAAAAAAAAAGGAACAAAGCAAATTTCCATACTCTGTAATGCTTTCCTTCCCAATTTCATCCATCCATCACCGTGAGATGGAGGGTATATTCATTTTGCGAACACGTACGCAATGCCCAGAATCAAGCTTCAGAGACGCCACAAAGGATACATATTCTTCATTAGCGTCATACTGTGAATCGATTTGAGGATGTCCGTCTGATCCTCTGCTCGCCTGTGTAATGTCTCTTGCAGATATTCTCCTGTTCGCAAAAATGGAGCTATCGCCTTCAAATTTGGCAGAAACATTGGAAGTTATTGCACGCAGGTTGGTAATGAAAATGGGCCAAATTGGTTGAAGGACACGCCTACAGTCCCACGTAACTAAGAACACGTCCATCAGAACTACATAGACATAAATGAAACAAGGATTTCAACGTATATTCTGCGGGCGATGCTGCACTACCTGTATATAGGTGGCAAGAATTGTCCAAGTCTATTCAATTTTATAGTGTCGAACAACTTAATTTTGCAAAAATTACCCAAACCGTGTTTTCTTGCTTTTTACTCATAAGGTATAACGCATGCAAAATATAGATTTTCGCTTTTATTCTGAAGATAGAAACAATCACTATCTCGCCCGCCCACTACTATAGAATACGATAATTTCGTTCTTCTCCTTCTTTTTAGGATCACAAAAGATGCGGTCACGGTCAAATATAAATTTCATACTTGTTGTTATTAAAATTCTTAAAGTCACAAAATTTGTCTTTGAAAAATAAGGAATGAAATCTTGTAAAGGCCTTTAAAGCTAATAATAATTATAAAACAAACTAAAATAGTCTATAAATATACAGAATTGAAGGCCTCCAGCGAACATCGCCTATGTAATCATTCGATGCAAAAATGATTTTATTATAATTAGCTCATTGCTTTGTCTTAGCTGCAGGTAGAGCATTATTGAATCGTTGCTCCAAGGTAACTAGAGATTTTGTACTTATTGTCAGTACAATTCGATTATGATTCAAAATAGTGATTACAATTAAATGGTTAGTTAGTTTTAAACAACAAGATTATTACGGGCATGAAGTCTTAATGTCTTATGCAATCTAGTAACAGATAAGATAATTATTATTGTTAGACTGCGTAATCATCATCCCACCTAAAGGCAACCAACAAATGTAATCATGTTTGATTTTCTCTACAAATTTGCGAAAGTTTAAATCTGATTAAAATGATAAACAAACACAGTGACAAATGAGGATAATTTCATGTTCGTGTTAAGCAAGAATAGTATCTATAATAAATATTATCAATGAAAATTTGATAAATATCCTCGCGCAGATGAACATGATTTTTTACTTAATATGTAGTAATACATATATAGTAATAGTATAGTTTAGTAATTTCTGTTCGAAACTTTAGAAATCTCTTGTCTGAATGAAACGAGCCGGCCATGTGGCCCATAAATAGTTCACGTGTGGTAGACGTTGGTGTATGCGAATTCCATCATTGGTATGTGAAGCAAAATTTTCACGTATACCTAGCACTGGAACTTCACAGAAGACATTTAAATAACGTTCGCCGAATGTACGACACAGAGAGATCATGATCTGCAAAGATCGAATAAATTGGAATGTGAAAGAGATTTTATGTTAAAACCTCAGATTAATCTTAGATGTTGAACGTTAAGGTCATCACCAACTGTAACACGGTTTAATTAATTTCTCTATGTAATAGAAGTATGGCAGGAGACACATCATTTCATCTCTAATTCGCATATTACCCGATAACACATGTAGTAAAGTACATGGCAGGATCGGTATGCGATTCTACGGTTTGAACTTAGATTACATTATGTAATTCGAACGCCTTCAAACTGTGAAGAAAAGGCAAAATGGATGAAAGCCCAAAAAATGGATGATCTTAGAAATTTTAACCCGTTCCACAACCAATTTTTTTTCTACCTATTACTAAGTCCGTAATTGTAAATAATATAAGGTCGACGCGTAGTCGTCATAGGAGTTGGTGCAAGAAATACAATGTGTAATGCAGTTAATAATATAGCGGCATTTCAAAACAAGGCGTTACATGGAAAGTTGTCGAGAATCCGATCCAAATCATTTTCAATAGCGGTGGTTGTTAGTCTAAAATATACTGCTTGGACAAGCCTGATTTCATCAAACGATGTTTAGATTGAACAGAAGCGAGAAAGGCGGACATACGGACTTACAAGCACACAAAGACATGGTTCTATCTGAAGTCTTTTTGATAGTTATATACATGCTAACAAACTTATTATAGCGCTGTACAACAAATAGCGTAGGGTGTAACAAAAAATTAATTTTCGTTAAAAGAATTTCAAGACTAAATTTAGAAGAGGTATTGATTTTGTCTGAAAATCAAATGAGATTGTCAAGGAGAGAATGCCTTACGACCTTGCCGACTTGAGCTTAAAAATGGAAACTTTTCTAATACGTTTTAGGTAATGACCTCAACTTCAACAGTTTCCAAGTCATATAAAGTTATGCTTGGAAGTTCGAAAAATTCAGAGTCAAATCTTAGACCATAGTAGTAGCTTCCAGCACGAGTTTTGGAATTCGAACGAATCCAATTTCGACTAACTTGGAATTCGTTTGAAGTTTCATGTCAGAATTTTTCTCAGAGCATCAACGTTCCGTTTGAGAGGCATCGTCACCATGCATTAACCATGTCGTAACCCTTAACATGTCTTCAAAATAGAGCTTTCTAAAGACAATGATCACGTTTTAAAACATAGGTCACATCCCTCATTTGCAATTGATCCCCCTCAGTTCCATTTTATGCGAAGTTGTTAACAATTTTTTTTTTTTTTTATAATGAAAATGCAGCCTTAGAGGGGGAACGCCTGGAATGCTACCTAGAGGCGAACTGCTTTCGAAGCTTTGTCTGTAGAGTATTTAGTAATTTAAAAACCTACGAATTTTAAAAGAATGATGCTACGGGAAACAGTTACTATGGTAAGAGTTTAAAAGGTATCTTACCATTAAACGAAGCTCGTGGAACGTCATCGTGAAACAAATTGTAGCCACGGAGAGCCCTTGATAAAAGCTCGTAATATGAAAGACCAGAAGGTTTCTCTCACGTTGCAATGCAACATAACTCACTTTTTAATTAGTTATGTGCGTGTGTGTGCGGTTCTTTCCTCCTACTTCTGTGTCCTCTGTCACCGCTTGTGTTAAAGTGCAATACAATTAATAAATGATATCAATTTATTAAATTTTATTGCTTTCACGTGCCTTGAAATTCGAACGATATGTAATTACCATACCATCTTGAAATGGATTATATTTGCTTATCGAGATACACTTCGAAATAATAGAAAAAAAACAAGAGAAAACTTTTAATTGGCTTCGGTAAATAATTGCTACAGCAACCATTTAGAAGCACTGACGTCTTTTAATCCAACCATTATGTGTTTGCATGCAAATGCACATGATTTTGCATATGTGCGTATGTGCGTGTAGACTAAAAACAAACAAACAAACGAACGAAAAGGCTCATATTTTATTATAACAAAAAGTTATATAAAAGTTTTTTTGGTTGCATTCACAAAACTTTTCAGCTCGGAGGCTGGAGACTGGAGGCTGGACGTCGTGTGCATACAAATAAGTACGCAACAAATGCGCGTGTTTTATGATCCAGAAAATAAACTGCAAAAAAAAAAAAGAAAAACAATGAAAGCAAAAATGCATAACGATAAGTTTGCACTAATTCTATTAAATACACACATTTTTATATATACATATATATCTTTGTTTTGTAAACAAATGTGTGAAACAAATATAAAAAGTATGTGTGTGTGTGAATGGTTGCGCATACTTTCAGAGTTTTATTACCTCTAACGTGTATATCATCGCCCTATATACCCTAAGAGAAACTTTGTTAAGAATCGCATATGAAATGTGCATCAAGTTCAATGCCACAGAGTCAGTGAACTCTTGCACTTTAGAGCAATACATACATTCATTATTCACTATAATAGGGGTCATCAATAAAATTTCCTTTATTGACCAGCTAATGCCGGTCATTACAATTTTGCTATTGTGTTTATGCTTTGTTGAAGCAATTGTAAAACATTACATTATTATTATGTGTGTGCGTGCATATCCATGTCTACATACAGTTAGTTCTCTTTATTGCTTCGCATTTATTCTATTAATAGATTGGTTAAGTAAGTAAATGCTTTAGTCCGTACGATTTCATAGCCCGTAATATAAAATGCAATGCATTTCCTTGCAATGAACGATCAATATATGAAAAGCAATCGTTATAATGAAAAATAAAAGCATTATTATGCACTTGAAGTGACTCAAGAATTCTCAGCAATCGACACTTCATAACTTTAAGATCCTTATTAGTTTGTGATATAATAGTTTGTCTATGCAATGAACCGAAGAGAAGAAATTAATTAAAGAGCGTAGAACGTAGCGCAAAAAAAGTAGTGAAAGAAGAAGAAGGAGAAGTTTTGCCGCGTAAGTGAAAAATGTGAGAGAATAAAAAAGGATAAAAGTGATGAAAGATTGACATATAAGGAAAGAAAGCAAATGGGAAGGAGTCACAAACAAATGAAAGGCATTGCAACAATGAGAATGAGAAAGAGAGCGGGCGCGTTGAGGGCTACAGCAAGAAGAGAGAACAGGCGAAACAAAACAGCGAGATAGGAAGAGTTACTAAAGTGGAAAGCAAAAACTTCGGAGTGAGAGAATAGTAGTAGTAGAGGCAGATAATATCGACAAGTGACAAAAATGATTGATTTGTGACAAGTGTGACAAGCACGAGCTGTATTCATTGGTTCAATTTTGTAATAAGAAAAAAATAAATAAATTCTTTGAAGCGTGCATGATTCCGTCTTTGAATTTTGACTTCGAAGCTATTGCAATAAGTCCCGGAATACAGCCAGGAGAAATTAGAATTGAAATTACCGAGAAGTTATGTCCACCCAAATTCATAGTGGATCGAGTACATTGACCTTATATCTTATGGAAATTTAGCGCCGATCTTAACCCTAAAATGCATATTGTTGCCAGTTGTTTGCATTTCAGTTTCGCTTTAAATAAAATTAATTTAGAAAGTGTAATCGGAATGTAGACAATTGGCAACAATATGCATTTAAGAGTTGAGTCATCGTTTACGTTTGGATATAGTGTAAATCAATATTCCTTTCTCAAATTGTCAGCTTAGGTTATTAAATGTACTTTTAATAATCTGTAATAACTGTGTAAGAATCAAAGTGGAAGAATTCAACAAAGTGGTTCTGTACTAATAGCACTCAAAGGTTGATTTATCTTTTTTCCAAACAAACGTCACATGATTAATGTAATTCGGGCGATAAGTACAGATAGACAATATTGACAATTGCTAAGATGATAAGATTCTACCGTAAAGCAGCAATTAATTTTGTTACGAAACTTGACGCACATAAATAAATTGTGCGGCCCGGAAAGTACTTAGTTTTTCATTTCCTTCGTCATTATTTATCATATTCATTAATTTCCTGCTTTGCTGGTTTATAGAAAGCCTCTTTCCATGCTCTTTTAGCAAATTTGAGTAATAAATCTAGTTCAGGAAATAGGTCCTCAACATTCTTGCAAGCTATCGAGAATATTGGTTTCCTCCATATCGTCTATGACGTTTGGTTGTTTTTTTTTTTTGTAAGAGTAATGCGCTGGGTTTCCCGCAAAGCCCTTTTGTTTCACAATCGTTCGAGATAACGACTTGAAGTGCCATAGTTCAGATGCTAACCGACTGATATCGCATTTCTCTTTTCGTGCGCTAACATTTAAATCGTTTACAATGGCTTGGATGGAACGTAAAGTTCAATCTTTGAGTAACGAGCAATGTTGATAAAACCTGTATAGCTTTTTTCACACTACAATGTGCCGAGAAGCAAAAGTAGTATTATACTGACCTCAGATATCTTCAACTATATAACTATGTGTATAAGCTTCCAATTTAGTTACAATATATTTATGTACATATGCATATAATATTTTGCTTTGTGTTAAATGTTGCCTAAAAATTAAGAAGATGAGTTCAATATTTAGTAATTTTTGTGTGTGCCTCTCTATTTGTTTTGTTATTTCCTATTGTAAACTCCTGGCGGCTTGATTGTTCCCGTGTATCCTTTATGTTTTGTTTCGTTTATTTTGAAAGTTTTTGCCCTTACAGCTGCTTTATTGGGTGCACGGTTTCGTGCTGGCTCGAATGCCGGCTTGCTGGGCTTAGGTGCCTTACCGGGGCTAGGCGGTGGAACCACCATAAATGATACCGGCGACGGAAATGGTGATGAATCTATTAATTTAGATATACCCGCCGGCTGTAATATGGGAAGAAGGCGTAGTCGCGCCGTCCTCTATCAACTGTCAGGCCATTATAAGCCGGAAAAGAGCGTAAAAACGAAATTGAAATTGGGAAATGTGAGTATGTGAATGCAACATGTCATATTATCATATTAATATGTATATATTAACGACAGAATGAGAACGAATTGTAAAAGAGATATTAACTTATTTTTAAAAAATTGCTGCTTGTAGGGATAAATTTATAAATAAAATCAACAGCAATTTTTATACTAATTCAGGACCAATGAGTTTCATATATTGCGATATCTTAATTCTTTCTGTAATTAATTATAGGTTTGATTAAATGTTATCAATTTCATGCTCCTTTCAAGAATTTATTACATTCTACCGAAGCACCATTCCCTGAGTACAAAACGCAATCAATAAAGAAATCGCGCTTCATATTGCCGCACTATGGTGTTTTCAAAGGTTTTTGGGATTGGATTATATTGGTTTCAACGTTCTATGTAGCCATTTTGGTGCCATATAATGCCGCATTCGCCAAAGCGGATCGTCAAACAATGGTTTCGGATGTTATCGTCGAAGGCCTATTTATAGTGGGTAAGTAGACATGATGACATAAGGAAATTTAAGTATAAACAAAAATAAAAGCTATCTGGTGGCTCATGGATCACTATTAAATATCCTCCCCCAACCTTAAGTCACTCATATAGCGACTTTTTAAAGTAGGGTATTTTATGGGAAGTGATTGAAAAAATGGTTCGATCCGAACAATGGTCAGTAGTGTTTGTCCTTGGGTCGGAAGACGTCATTACATCGAATTTCATCAAAATATGAACATGAGAAAACGAGACAGGCTGGTGGACAGACAAAAAGTAGTTCTGAACCGATCCGTCCATCGCAAGTCGTTCTGGGGGTTGCATAAATGTGCACTAACTTTATATACAAGTGATATGGGGTATAAAGATTATAATAAGACTTATTATGAAACGTTAGTAAAGGCTAACGAAAGGTTAAGCAATATTTGTTAATAAACTCTTTCTCATTTTTTAAACTTCTTTTGTGTTAATGAAGTAGGCCGAGATTTCGGAAAGTCTGTAAAATACTTGGATTATTTATAAAAATTTCACTCACGTTAAAGTTGTTTTCGTTGCGTGCACAAATATTATTCGTCGCAAGCAAATGCGGAGATGAAATGTAAGCAAAGAAGTAAGAAAACAGATTTGTACTCGTTAATCTAGATAAAGTGTTCATCTGTGGCAGGGATTAAAGTTGTTCATACATAATGTGTCCATAAAAACCATAGGAATATGAAACGAACAGGAATACTAGCGAAAGTGAGAAAACAAGAAAGGATAAAGGCGGGAAGCCGCACTTAAAAGACCGAAAAAGAATAGTCAAGTAAAGTTAGTGCAGTTAAACTATTGAATCGTATCGTAATCGAATATTCACAAGCTTATGAAAGATACGTAATATGCAATGAAAATTTATTTCCCTGATGTGCATTGTATAGTCTATCGTATATATCGCGAGATCAGTTTGCGAGTTTGCGAGCTTTGTAGCGCATTGAACACTGGCACTGCCGACGTTTTGCGTACAACTATTTCTATCGAAGTGGGCCAATTGGAGCCATAATTTTTGTCAAAATGCCAGTTTTCTTGTGATTGTATAGCGAAGACCCTCCCGGCCTTCATTTATGTGACGATAACGACTTTACAAAAATTGTGAGTCAAAATGATTTCTCTGTGTACGTCATCGGTAGTTGGACAATTAGAACAAGTAGAAGAAAATTGGATACCGGCATTTAAGGGTCTTTTAATGTAAGCGAAAGTCGTCACTAAATATTGGAAGTTGGAAATTTCGCCTGATAGTAATTTTTTTTTTAGCTCAAAGATTTGAGAATATCAAATTGACCCACGTGGTCATTCTAAAGCAGATAATCATAAAGATATTTTTCTTCGTTGCACTTGACGTTTTATCCTGCATGTCATATGTCGTATATTGTGCCGAGTTTTTTAAAATTTCATCTACACTTACTCACCAAACTGGAATCCTTCCGATTACCAATTATTTACATCGATAAGGCACGGGCTTGCTGAGCAAACCTTCGTTGCTAACGACAAATATTCAAGAACGTGACATACAAAAATTAGCGACGGGCAATACTTCTTGATCTGTAGGATCTGCGACTATCAAGTTAGTGTTCGCGGGTTTTAAATTTCAGGTGGAGTAGGGTTTCCTTTGGTCGTAGCCGCAATGAGTGCTCAGCCGGTAAAGGCATAACCTTTATTGATTGGGTAAATGCTCACTAGGCTTGCGTCCACCGCCTCTTTATCTATTTCCTCCCTTCTTTCTGGCCTTATTACATCAATGGGGGACATACCCTATATTAAAATTGTGCTTTTTACACAAAAACTCCGATTTCATATTTACATCCCTGATAAACTGCGTCAGCGATGTTTCTGAAACTCTCAGTGTGTTTGTTATTAACTTATATACCTCCAGCGGGGTGGCTATAGTTCAATATGTTATAAATATATAAGGGGAATATGACGATTGCGTGGATGAAGCAGGTTTTGTGATCAAAATTTCGATCGAATATTGTCTCGACTTGGTAGAAATAATGCGAAATAGATTAGACACTACCAAGGTGACTCAGTTAAAAAATTGATTACATGTCAGTGTAATACAACGGAAAGAAGAGAGAAGAAGAATATGCCTTGGGGCATATACAAATTTCCGCTTTCTTGTCCAGGTTAATCAGGAAATTCTACAATAGGCGAAGTTTCTTACACTGACCGCTGGCTAACTAACTAATTATTTAAAAATTAACTAACTAATTATTTAGAAATTAACACATATTAGAACTTCAATTATAGATAATACACTCCTTGAAAATATATATGGTATATGTTCACACTATGTTGACATGTATATATATTTGCTCATTTATTCTATTATTAAAATTAAATGCTGTAACAATAGTTCTTTACATAGTTCAGTTAATGGCACACAACAATGAATTCCTAAAGCGAACAGTTACTATGAATGCTTAGGCCAAATATTCCATGTGAATGCTTTATTTTACCCTATTTGTGGCTTTTGTTTGTTGCAGATATTTTATTAAATTTTCGCACAACGTTTGTCTCGAGCAAAGGCGAAGTCGTGTCCGATTCGAAATTGATTGCAATCAATTACTTAAAAGGTTGGTTTGTTGTTGACTTGCTGGCCGCCCTGCCCTTCGATCATCTATATGCCTCAGATCTGTACAACGGAGAGGTAAGTAAATTTTCCTATTATATTTTCTTTGCACGTATACACACCCCAGTGCCACATATGTACCTATATATACCGTGATAATTATTTATTGAACGTCGTAGGGCTTTCAGTGCCAGCCGCAGTAATGACATTTTCTATGGATCGGCATTGAAGTCTACATGATATACATTTGCTCGCCAGTGTAGAGGACTATTTTGACATTATAAATTTTTGTATTGGAATTAAATGTGGAAACTTCCCACAAGAAAGTCAAGACAACTTCAGGCCGTGAGCTTGAGAGTCCATATCTTTTGTATTTCAGAATTTTCCTCCCTAATTTAACTTCAGCTTCAGTTTGTAGGTTATTGCCCATAAGCAAATCTCGTTTGTGTTACAAAACGAAGAATATACGAAGTATTACTTAATTGGCCTAAGAAGTTATGCAGAACAAGAATTTGGGCATTTCATGGAGGAAAGGAAACTGCTCTACTCGCAAGTACCGTTAATTTACTCAACGTCATAAAATTCTGATGAATAAAACTGACAGAGGCCGGATAGTTTTTGTGCGGCAGAATAGAATTATGTTATACCCTGATTGCTAGCAGATTTGAAAACTAGACCGATTAACTGTAAATAATCTGTGACGCAATAAAGTGTTTCTTAGGTAAAGCATTTCTTCGCATTTCAACTAGCAATCTAGTAATCTCAGTACTTGCTAGAGACGCTTTTTCTTTTTTTTTTCCTTTAACTTTTTTTGCGGTTCTCACGCTCGTGTAACTTTTATATTGTAACAGCGCAGAAGTTATAAATTTTTTTTTGCAAAAATGTAATCAAAATTGTCTTTCGATGAAAAGAGCTTCGTATGGATCTTATCAAATTTGATGTAATGTAGGGCATATACTGCAAAATAGTTTTTGAAATGAGCAAAGCTGTTGCTGCGGAGGAGAATGCGGAAACAATACTATATAAGTTACAAGGTAATCGTAGAGAAATGTTTTTGGCTGACGGACGTGGTTTGCCGGAAAACCAGTTGTAGTTGCGCACAAGTTTTCGATTCTTAGATTCTAAATGTTTCAAAAGTGTAAAGACACAAAACATCAGGAAATAAAAGTATTTTGACATTATTTTAAACCACTCAAGCAGACTTAATACAATTTGATGTTTTATAAATGTGGCTCAATAGGTGATAAGCTAATTACAGTTTCCATTAATTAGATCTGATTTAATTTTAACAAGTTTTACGCCAAACTTTACTCAAGAACAAAACTTTAAAGCTATTAGTTATACAAAACTATTATAACGGCATCAATGTAATTCCTCCCTAGAGTGCATGCAATGATTTATCTTAAAATTAGATGAAAAAAAAAAACAAGTAAGAGAATTATATTATATATATGTCGTGACTGCATATTTTATGTCCACCACCATTATCCTAAAAAAGACTAATAAAAGGGAAAAGACCTAAATTTTCATGCTCTATAACATGGGATGGACGCGGCTGACTTCTTCTGCTTTCAGAATAAGAGTGGACACTTATAGCGGTGTTGTAGTGTTATAGCTTATGACCAACGTTCTCACAAGTTGTTACTTAGCCGTGTGCAAGTTGCAGGCGTGTCCTTTGATCGGTTTGGGACCTTTTAAAATTCTTTTTCAAGTTTTTAGGCGATGTCTCCCTTTCGACGAAGGGCAGACTGGAAAAAATGTACCAGGCTTGGCCAAATTTTTTCATTTTCGCAGACGCACTAAAGCATCGCTCCTAGAGTATACGTTCAAACTTTTGTTGATCTGCTGTAGTTATGAGTAATGAGCGAAAAACCAATCTTTAATTCCTTTTGAAAAATACAGGTGTCCCCACATTACTTAGTACCGGAAGCGTGTCCTTCAATATTTTCAATACGAACCTGCGTCTAAGAACTTGCAATGTTTCCGCCAAATTTGAAGTTCGTAGCTTCATTTTAGCAACCAGGAAAAAGTTCACTACAGACGGGGTCTCTCTCTGACAAAGTGAATATATCTCTCATCCTTCGGTGATGAGTATAGGAGACACACATTACAAAAGTATCACAGCCGCCCTTTAAATGCCCTATATCACGTTACATTTATTCATATAACGACCTTCCAGAATAAGGCGTTATGTGGGAAGTGGTCGAAAAATAACAATAATCAGTGGTTATAGCCAATGCTTTAACGCTCATAAAGCTAAGCATCTCGATCATTGCAAATATATGTTTAAAGTCTTTAGCTTTTATTGAAAACAATGCGCTGAACGTTGATGAACTATGACATGGGAAATTTCGCAGGCTAAAGAAAAATTGAAAATGACGACGGTTTTGTCGGTGCAATCAAAAAATTATTTACCCAAGCATCAGAGGATATGTCTACGTATTCTATTTAAAACTTATGTGGAATTATTTCCTTCTTTTAGTTGTCGTCAACTTGTGCTAAAAAATCAATTGGACCAATTTGTAAATTCACTACTACTCAGGCAGATTCTATGCTGTAATAGACTAAAGAATCATTCAACCCTTGTTGCATATGAATCTCTCTCTCTCTCTCTCTGTTTTCAGTGTATCGAGTTTCCTTTATGTTATATTATTATTATAATTGTTTCCGTTGTCTGTACCTTCGACGTCTGCTAGTTACATTACTTCATTTGTATAATCAGACATGTTATGTCAAGCCTGCAGATTTTAAGTAGAGAAGAGTGCTACCATAAATATTCTGATAAATTTATGAAACAAAACTTTTACGCTGATAGTACTTATTACGCAATACCTTTAGAGTACAGCTATTAGAAAGTCACATAAAAGCAATTATGTGAAGAGTATCACGTTATTCGGTGCAATTCAATTTCTTTTCAATCTTCTTCTTTATACGGATTTTAATATTCGCTTCGATTCACAGGTTGCTGTTGTGTTTACGCTTTCGCTTGCACGGAGATATCGATGTCATAAAAGCGAGACAGTTGTAAAATCTCTGGGATATATCATATATACGCATAAGCGGTCACATGCACATGCACAGTTAGTTGTATTGCAATCTTCAATGCAAACAGTTATTAATACTTAACAATGTAAACTGACATGATAAATGCATGTATATAATGCATATATATATATATATATATATATATATGTTTGTGTGTATAAAAACTTTATTGATTTGTATTATCAGACAAACTAGCAGGCAGGCAACTAGCAACCAGAAACCAAGTAAAATAATTAACTTACATACGTATACTACTAATAATGCTGTAATAAAGTACGTACTATAAAATCGGTTTAAGAACCAAACACAATGCATCGTACACAGTAAAGCAACTAGAACAGACAGCTGCAGACAGGAGCAAGATCGAAATATGTTGCTCGTAAAGTTGACGTACGAAACTAAAAAGGAACGTAAAGCACTGATGTTCATTCGTAGCCGACATAGATCTGAGTTAGAAGTGATTCCCTGAACTGGCGCAAAGACGCAAAAGTTTGCCGTTACCAACAATAGTGGATAAATTTAGTTTAATTTTTGAAGATTAAAAGCTAACTTAGATACGATTATGGCAGGATATCGTGAAGTATTTCCAACAAATGCGGCCGGGATAGACATCAGCGGTTACTCCAAGTGTTCATGTTTATATAGCCTTTAATTTAACCGTTCTCACCTTTAATATTTGCAACGCAAGCTTCACAAGTAAATTGCAAACTTGGTTACTTCCTAGGCGTCATACTATTTTTTATATGTACATTTTCATAAAGCGCTTCGAGAGACTTATACTCTACGCTAACTGGTGTTTGCGTGCAATTCATTCTTTCGACTCTTATACTTCAATCCAATATGCTCGCACTTGTTGATTACGGGTCTTACGGGACTTGTTTCAAATACAGTCTATTGATTGCAAGATTTGCGGGATTAGAACTCTTAACGCGGTCCCTGCAGTAGCCCATGATTATCTGTCAGAGTGGACGGTTTTATTTACGTGTTTATTTATTAAATTTCGCTACAGAATAACTCATTAGTCGAATGCACGCGACAAAATCACTTAACTGTAGTAAAGAGGAGACGAAAAAAAAAACCAAAAAAATAAGAACAACTTACGCATCAGAATTAAACTAAGCACTAAATTTAAATACAGAGTTGTACGCTGATGAGCGAACATGTGCTTTTTTATATTAATAGAATAGATGAAAAAAAAAACAAATACAAATCTTGCACATTACCCGAGACGGATTGAATAATTCCTAGTTAGTTCGGTCTTGTGATTTACTGGGGATGCGAATGTCAACACGTTCTAAGAAAGCCTGCGAATAAATATCTCCTTTTATTAGTTTAAAGACGAAGAACATTTCATGTCTTTTTTCAAGGCTAAGTAAACCAAAGAACTTTAATCTACTATTGTAGGGTGGAAGAGATAGTGTAGGTTCCGATCCTAAAACACGCAAAGCAAACAACAAACAACCGGCGAGTATTCAAGAGTTTGTCCAACTAAATATGTATCCAAGCACCTGAGTAGCTATAGACCCTCGCATGCTTTAGACCATGTTTTTATAAAGCCCACAAGGGATCTCGCTTTATTAACCGAAATTTTTGTGTGAATTTCAAACTTGAGGTTTGAGTCGAAAAAAACTCCCACATCTTGGTAATTGCGGACATTTTCTAGAATTTTATCATCAATACGATAATAAGAGAGCAATGTATTGCACCACGCAAAAGACATCTTCTTACGATTTTTCGTATTCAGCAGCATATCGTTTATTGCACACCGTATTCATAAGTCCACAGACTGAAGATGTTTAGTACCACGCATTGAGTCAAGGGAGGGGGAAAGTTTAACGTTGTGTGCAACAAAAGCGGGCCAAGATTATTGCAGACGTGACGAAAATTACTCTAGATTGGCCAGAATCCAACAACACCCGCTGCGGGCGAACAGAGAGATAGCTGCTAAACCAGGCAATCATATTCTCCGAAAGCGATAATTCATAGAATGACAATCCATCATAATGTACTCTTTCGAAAGCTTTGGAAAATTC